ATTTAACACATTAGAAGTTGCGAAGGTTGATGTGTAAAATGTGTGAACAATGACATCATAAATAATAGGGTAGATTAAAAAAAGGAAAGGAGAGAATAAATCAATAAAAATAGATTTCAGAACATTGCTCAATAAATTGTGTAGTGACACAATTTATTGAGCAATTTTATGAAATCTATTTTTATTGATCAATAAATTGTGTAGTGACACGTTACTATTCTCTGCATGTGACTTTTTTAATCATTATTGTATTAAACCTCTTGATGAACAGACTAAAATATTAGTTCCTAACAAACTGTTATGTCAACATAATCAGATTGTGTGTTGTACATATTTTAGTTTGGATTTGTTTTTTATAGGGTCAGGAATGTGTTTGCTAAAAATATACATCCTGAATTTTCTTCCACTGTGCGTTTACAATAACTCAGTGATTCCCATTTGTTTCAGATTGGTTTGAGGCGATTCATGGCAGGGATAGATGAGGGCGAGGAAACGATTGTCTGTGTTATTATGCCTGCACTGAAACATCTCGCTGCTGCTGCTGCTGCTGCTGCAGACCTTAATGACTGACATGAATAACTCTGATGGCTGTTTTTCTCCCACAGATTAAAAAAAAAGGCAAATATTGACTCAGAGCCCCTGTCGAAGTTATTCTAGTTATTAAAGTGGTCAGTGCACGTTTTGATCATTTTGAGTTTGCAGTGGAATTTGTTATTATTTTTTATGATTTCTGTTCTTTCATTTTTGATAATTGAGTTTTTTTTCTCACATGTTTATTTGTTATCGACTCTTACATGTGCCTTGCTTTTGTTTCTTCTTTTTTTGTCCCCCCCTTTCTGTTTGCATGGCCTCACCCCGCCCCCTCCCCGCCCCTCCCACACCTCCTCCTCTGCCTGTGTTCATGCATGGGACGCGATGAGAAGGATTGGAACCACCGAGCGGTCACTCAAGTAGGCTTCACTTTGATAGAATATGAAAATGAACAATTCTGCTTGTATTTGTCTTGCAGCTTCACGTGCACACTTGACAAGCGTTTTCCAAAAACGTCTGTGTTGGGCTTTAGCAACGGCAAAAGCTGCATTCCTTACATTTCCTGTGACGTTTTAGTTTTTCACTAGAATTTAGTGTTAAACTAGAGGTCAAGAGCTTATTGCTTTCAAACATCTGAGAAAACTAGTAGAGATGTGTCCTGAGTCATGAATCATGTGTTTTTATATGAAAATTAAACTTGCATTTGCAAATGAACCCCAGTGATTTAAATATCGTATAATCTGTTAGTGCTCAATGTATGTGTTAGGAGCAACTCTAATCTACCACCACATCAAAGCTTTGCTGAGTCAAGTTGACTCTAAAAGTTGAAACATCTAATGGTTATTTTATGCATTCTTAATAAAATTTGTCCAGTGTTTCATGAGATATTTTGCTAACAGAAAAGGTTGAGTCCAACATTTAATGCTAAAGTTTAAAACCAGGATCTCGGTCATGTTAGCACTCGAACTAACGCAACAAATTTGAGCTCAGTATCTGAAAAGCTAATTGAGTTTGAGCCTTCTTTTGTGTTCTCTAAGGCTGATTTGTTGTGAACTTGGATCAGGTTGACTCCAAAAGTAAATCAGTAGTAGATGTGCAAGTGTTTGAGAAAAGTTTAATTAAAATCAATGTAGTGACATTTGGACTCAAGACATTCGAGAGACTCTCTTAATGAATGCCATTCGCCAACTAGTCACAGCTCAGTGAGACGCCACCTTAACAGACAAATGAACACACACTGGCAAATACACGATCAGCTGCCTTTCATAAGAAATAATGTCATGTAAGAAATAATTACCAACAGCAGCTTTAAAGCGGTAGAAGCACGTCTTCATATTGCCAGAATATATTTATATAGTATATTTTGGTTTTTGAACATGGTGTACCAACTCTCAAAATCTTTTAATTACTACTTTTTTTCAAAGACCTCTGTGAAAATGTTTTTTTTTCATATTCTCTGACAGGGTTGAATAAAGAGCTTTAAATTCAAGTAATGTAAACATTTTATACGTAGCCTATTGTGTGATTTAAAGGAGACCAATTATGGGTCCTAGAAATTTTATGGTATGTCTGTGGGCTATCCAGACCATGTTCATTCAATTTAATGCACAAAATAATTCTCAGATAATACAATTTCCCTTTTTCTAGTTCTGCCTGCTCTGACTTCCGTTCAGAAGAGCTGTTTATGTTAATGAGCTCTGTTGGTAACGCCCTCCAAAAATCTGTTGACATTAACTCCACCCTCCAAAGCCAGCGTTTACGTTAGCATGGCTAATAATAGCAGAAGCTCCGTGAGGCAGAGTCGTGGTCACAGCTTCTTTTTTTTTCCCTCTCCCTCCTCTGCTCTGCCCTCACTCTGCGTGCTGTTACCAGAGCAGGGAGCAGCAGTGGTCAAAATACCTCAGAAACTCGAACAAATAGGCTTTAACAAGGCTTTAATAACCTAAACAAAAGAGGCACATGAGACAGCTTTTTATACTGAGGAGGTGGAGTCTCACTCGGGGGTTGCTAGGGGCTGAACGCAGGTTCCGGTGGGTTGTCGTACGGCTTGTGACATCACAAAATGACGGAAGTATAAAACTTGTCGTTAATATACATTAAAAATACATTTACTTACAGTAAATATGCCCCTGGGTGCATTTTTTGGTCCTATACGTTTTTTAAAAAGTACATACCCAAAGTTGAGTAAAATAAACTTTAAAAAGGGAATTTAGCATAATAGGTCCCCTTTAATGTCAAGATTTTCACAGTACTTATTTTACACTGGCAACTAGATCAAAATGTTAAAAAATACCAACCGTAAAAAGAGGCCAAAAAAAGTCACCACTTGGATTTAATAAAGGTCTATGATGTGGGGTTGCTGCAGTTGGTCAGGTTCAGGTTCAGCAACAGTCTGTGCTCAAAGAAAAAGGTCAGCTGACCTGAATATACTGAATGACCAGGTTATTCCATCAATGGATTGTTTCTTCCCTGACGGTATGGACATATTCCAAGATGACAATGCCAGGATTCATCTGGCTGGAATTGTGAAAAAGTGGTTCAGGGAGCAGAGATATCATTTTCACACATGGATTGGCTCCACTGAGTCCATTGAGAATCTTAAGTCCCTGTCACACTAAACAACTTAAGAACATTTTAAAGACATCTACGTTGGAGATGGAATAGAAAAAATCAACAGGAAGCTTCTTTTCGGCATGTACTGTACATAATGTATTTCGAACAAATTGATCAAACAACTTTTATTAGCAATTCAGACATAAAAAAATGTTTCATAAGTTGGCATAAGTTGTCTAGTGTGACAGGGCCTTCTGGGATGTGCTGGAGAAGGCTTAGCACAGCGGTCTGACTCTACCATCATCTATGTAAGATCTTGGTGAAGAATGAATGCAACACTGGATGGAAATAAAACTTGTGACTTTGCAGAAGCTCATCCAAACAATGCCACAGCAAAAATTTCACTGTAGTTCTTTTTGTACAATGTTAAATGACCATTTAAAACTATAGTGTTTTAATATTTTATGTGTTATCCTTTTATCTGGGATGGGAGTAAGAAAAACCTTTTTATTTATTTATTTATTTTTTGGTGATGACTTTTTTGGCCAGGCCATGTATTAACTGAGAAGTGTGGAAAAAAAACATTACTTTCATACAAAGGCTATGAAGAAAAAAAACGCAACAAAGAAAAGGAAAAACAAACTGATTTAATTAATAAAATAAAAGAATGCCTGAAAAAAAGGACACAACAAACCACTAAGCTGGGAGGGGTGATTGCAAAGTGAGAACAGCTGGGCTGATTAGCAGATGAGCGGCATGTGTGTGATGAGCTGGAGCCAGGGCTCACTGAGAGGACAACAGACAGGTAACACACAAAAAATAAAACAATATATAATAATGCAAATAAAATTCAATAACATATTTAGAAATACAAATGAGTACAAATAAAATACAAATACCACAAACTACTCAAACTCTGACCAACATTGTTATGCTAGGCTAAGCTATTTGGCCTCAGGATGTTGCCACTATATCTTTTTTAATCCAAGATTAGAATCCACCTCAGCTTGTTGTCTTGAAAATTACAATTTATTCAAGCTTGGGTTAAACGTTACGTCTTGGAATGGTAATGGGTAAAATACAACTTTAATTTGTTCCGTAATGCTGTATGTAAAGATTATACCCACATATTTTGATGTCTTTGCTTTCTTCTTGTTCTGAAAGATGACAGTGTTTCTCCAGTAGGTTCCTATTCATTTATACCCTGTAGGTCCTGCTCCAAGTCCAACAAAGTACTGTTGATTTTGAAGAACTAAAACCGAGACAAAGAGCTTAGAAATGGTGATTAAGCTTCAGAACGAGAGACAGTGTTGCCATAGTAGCTTGTAATCTTACCTGCAGCAAACCTCACATGAAGAACTTGGGGGCTAAATACAAAAAAAAAAAGTAAAAGAATTCAGCTTTTCTCATGACTGGTCCCAAAATTTATTGTTGCAAAGCTGCTGTGCTGCTCTGCTTAGTTTGCTGTTCTCAGTGAGTCTCAGAGTTTTGTTCCACAATGTTATAAGTTATTTATTTAGTTTTGTTTATGAGGAAAAAAATATTTTTTGATGGGGTTTATACCATGGATAAATGAAAAGTGCTGACTGAGAAAATTTCACTGTAGTTCTTTTTGTACAATGTTAAATGACCATTTAAAACTATAGCGTTTTAATATTTTATGTGTTATCCTTTCATCTGGGGTGGGAGTTAAAAAATAATGATACTGTTTTATCCTTCCACCAAAAGCAGCATTATTTTTGGGTATATTTGACTTTACCCAGACTTTCTTTATTGAGGAGGAGGCTGTAGTTTGATCAGAAAAGAGACACAAAGACATAAATTTGGTTCGGTTCTTGTGAGACAAATAAAACCCATCTGCTTTGCTGTTTAACCAAATAATAGTTGGGACAAAAAAGAAACATTGGAACATTTAGATTTTAGCAACACAATGTGCAGAGGTGTAAAGTAGCAATGGACAAATAACTTAATTTTCTTACCACTTCTGCAGAACATAGCAAATGTATATAGCCTTGTATTACGTTGATCATTACAGATATATACAGTATATGCAGCTGAAACAGGTATCCCAAAATTTTGGACACTAATTTTAAATTTATTTATTATTATAGTCATTAATGCCTTTAGAAACATGTTTTGGGGAGGTGGGGTTGTGCACTATAGACCCCTGGTGCTGCCTAAGCTTTTGTCCTTAAAGAGATCCCCGATTAGTTGTAACATTAGACTTTATTTAATAAACATATACAGTATTTTAACTGTAAAATAAAGACTGTAAAAATACTGTAGGTTGTTTAGTTTTTATCATTTTTAAACTGAAAATTTTAAAATATATTACATGGACGGGGCTATTTTATTTACACGCAAAGCATTCTGGGTAAATGATGACGTGGATAGGTCCTCGGTGCGAGGCTGCTAGCGAGCTATATCCACCCTGAAGGTTAATCTTGGACAATATCTGATGATCGACTCTTTTAAATGAAACCAGAGAGCGTTGACAGAGAGGAGAAGGTAGAAATGACTCAGCCTGTAACTGAAAATATAGATGGAGGACAACAGAGCTGCTTCATGGAAGAAGAACCTCAGCTTAGCCTATTAGCTTTAGTGTTAGCCCCGACACTTTCACTAGGGATGTCCCAATACCACTTTTTCACTTCTGATACGATACCGATATTACAACCTTGAGAATTGTCCGATACCGATATTGACCGATACCGATATTGACCCATTACCATAACAGTACAAGTCACACACTTTTACCTATTTTGTAATGTAAAATCTTAGAAAAGTCTTGATCAGGTCAAACAGTGAAAAAGAGTAGGTATGAGAAAAACTGACCCATTTATTTTTAACCAATGGATCACATACATTTTAAACTGAAGAACATTATACAATTTAATAAAATAAATTATAATACCCTGAAAAATAAAACATAATAAAAACAAAATGTTTTTTTAAAGTATAAAATAACAATTCAAAATCACTTCGGTCCTCCATCCACATGACAGAGAGGGGAACGCAAAAATAACTCAGTCTGCAACTGAAAATATACGTTAGATGGAGGACCTCAGTTTAGCTTGTTTGTCGCGCTGAGCTAATACATATAAGGCAATATAGTGTCAGCACTAGTGCAAAGGCTAACAGGCTAAGCTGAGGTTCTTCTTCCATGAAGCAGCTCTGTTTTCCTCCATCTATATTTTCAGTTACAGACTGAGTCATTTCTACCTTCTCCTCTCTGTCAACGCTCTCTGATTTCATTTAAAAGAGTCGATCATCAGATATTGTCCAAGATTAACCTTCAAGGTGGATATTCTTTATCCTTCTTCATCAGACTGTCATAGAAAGACAAAGTGTCTTCAGTCGGAGGCTTCTTCAACTTCGCTGTAATACAGACCGCTACAGAAGATCTTTCCTGCCCACAGCCATCAGCATCTACAATATGTTTTTAGTTAAATGAGTTACAACAACACCTAATTTCCCTCTGGGATCAATAAAGCATTTTTGAATTGAATTGAATATAGCTCACTCACACCGAGCACCTATCCACGTCATCATTTACCCAGAATGCTTTTTGTGTAAATAAAACGGTTCCGTCCGTGTTAAAATATATTTTTAAAAATTTCCAAAACTGAACATCCTACAGTATTTTTACAGTCTTTATTTTACAGTTAAAATATATGTTTATCAAATAAAGTCTAATGTTGCAACTAATCAGGGATCTGTTTAATGGCTTTTGTTTTTCTCTGTGTGTTACTTTTACTTTTAGATTTTAAGTAGTTTTAAAACTAGTACTTTTACTTAAGTAAAATGCTTGAGTTGATACCTCACTTTCTACAGGAGTACATATAAACCCTAGTATCTACTTGAGTAAAGAACCTAAATACATTTGACACCTCTGGCTGCATTTGAGTTGTACTAAAAAGCAGATCATTTATTGCTTGTGTATCTGTTAAAAGCATGCAGCGCTGACTTGGTTTGAAATGAAAACAACACGTAAATGTGACCATAGTTCAGTTAGTAAAACTTTAGACTAAAGTGACAGAATCAGAATAACTGGACTGTGTACCTAAAACTAAAGAGCAAAAGGAGCTAATAAGCGCTTTCATGTCTCTTATCTTATTCATGTTTGCAGATGTGTTGCAGAACCATGCAGCAAAAGCGCATTTAACCCGAGTTGTGTCAGATCTAATGGAGGAAAAGTGATTTCATAGGACCTGAGGTTTTAGGTGTCTGGTGGGAAGCAATGAAGGATCGAGTGACAGCTAGCTCTGCAGTTGGACTTGCGTTGCAGACTACAGCACATTAACTAAATCAATACCCCTGATCGTGCTCAGACACACGAACACAGAATACCAACAGCTGTGAACAGCCAAGCCGACCGATGGGATTGCAGCTGTCTGTTTGAATCACTGAGTGGGTGATTCAGGCTGCGGTAAAGCTGAGTAGACATTTAGCCTCTGGTTATAGAACTGTTCGAAATTGTAAATTTTTCTTCATGTTCACACTTGAAAGTGCTTTTTTCGCCCCTATAGTGTCTTTTGTTTTCTGTATGGTTCAAACCCCATAGTGAGGATGCTCTAGAAAAGCAAACTGTGGCTTTCTTTCCACATTCCAATACACGGTTGCATAGATTGCTTTTATTATTTGTCTATAAGAGTCCATTGTTTGGCCATATTTTTTGTTTACAGTGGCTTTTAGTGCACAACAAACAGAGGAAATCGCTGCCGCCATCGGTTTGATGTCATTGGTTTCTTTGCGTGTCCCATTTTCCCCTCTGCACTGTTTTGTGTCAGCTCGAGTTTTTTTGACACTCAATCATCCAGCTCATGCAGCACCTTTTGTTTCTGCTAAAACTAAAGTGTATTTCACCTTCACCAGCCTGTCTGCTCTCTGTCTCAGTTCTGTGTTTAGGTCCTTTTTCTCCTTATTCTATTATAGATGACAACCAGTCCCCCTCAAAAAGTGCTGGGACGGAGACGAAAATATCCAGAAATATTTAAAACTCCAACATATAGCGGGTGAATTCCAACTTAATCGGTGACTGGTGAGGATTGGGTATCACAAAATCATCTATTGGTTCACCAGTGATTTGCAGGGGTTTTGCAGACACGATCCTTATGTCTAATTAATGAAGTCCTGTAACTGTGGACTTTGAACCTCTGACTTAGCTGTCACTCACACATCTTCCCTCCTGTGCAGTTTTTCCACATTTCAAGGAAAACCCTCTCATATCTATGAAAATAACTGATGAGTCAAAAAGTGTTTTATTCTCAAAGCTCAGCTCTGTTTGCGATATACATTTCAAGTCAAATATTTACCGCCTCCTGAGAACAAGAGGCATTCGCATCTCAGAGGAAGAAGATGTTTATTAATCTGATGCTCTGCTGCCTTCACAAAAAGAAGTGCAGTCGTGCCAGGAAAACATATTATTAATCCTCTCAGTGATAAGTGTCAGACATGCTTGTGTCTCCAAATAACTTGTAAAAAACTGCTTATTTCAGAGGACAATACAGAGGTTATACAGTGAATACTGGGAAAAAGTTTTTTTAGATCGTGTTCACATTTAAACTGGGCAGCGGGGACAACAGATCAACTAAAAGTACACAAATTGCTCAGACCTGTTGAACTCAATGGGCGTGTTTGTGCTGATGTGTAATTAGCACTATTTGTTTTGTGAATAAGATGCTGAGACGGAGCAGATAAGGTAACTAATAAAGACATAAGGATAGAGCAGAAAACAATTACAACACAATAAATCTGCCTGTCAGTCTTCTAAAGTAAAGATGGGAATTGACTCATCAGTTTGTGCCAAATTCAATAAGAGAATCATTCAGTTTAAAAAAAATAGAAAAAACATAGCTTTTTTTGTTCAAAATGTCAAAGAATAGGTCTAACTACATGCAGTGCAATGTGGTGCTAGGTGTCAGGGATCTGTTTGAGTATTCAGGTGGAACTGCTTAAGCATTCATCATATGATTAAGATAAGCACATGTGCTCAGCTGTACCCAGAAAAAAAAACATTGTCACTCAAAACAATGGCTGCTTCAGCATCTGAAATGCAAACAAGAACTGCATCACATACACAGGAGCTGGATATCATCTCTATGCAGAAACACTGCTGAGGTCTTTATGGACAAAGGCTCATCTCAAACTGGCAGAACAACAGTAGTTGTGTTTTGTGGTCAGAAAAGGTCACATTTCTGTGGTTTTAATGAAAATCAACCAACCAAAAATACAAACAACCAGGCCTATATTATCAAAAGAGCCAAAGCTTAACTTTGTGATGGTTCGATGATCCAGTTAGTGCCCAGCGTTTATTTCAACAAAAACAATGTCAAACATCATTCTGCATAATTTTCAACATCATGGCTTCACGTACAGATTGTGTGTATTTGTTATAACTTTCCAGCAGTCCAGATCTGTTTGCTAAAATTTATGCTGCAGTAAGAGTAGAATCAGATTATGAAAACATTATTTTCCAAAAACAGACATCATTGACTAAAAATAGTCAATTTTCAAACAAAAGTATAAAGCTAAAGAGAAGAATGATGTCGTTCGATGGTAAACAAGGCTCTCTCAAAATGAATTTTTAAAATTGTAGCTACGGCTTCAAGTTTAGGCTTGAAAGAATTCTTTAAATACTTTGGAAGAAAATCCTGTCTTTGTTCTTGTCCCTACTGATAAAAGTTCAAACAAAATGAAGGGACTACAGAGGCAGCTTTTGTTCTACTTGGAAATCATTTTTAAAATGTTTTGGTTTTTCAAAAAATTCAACATATGTAGAGACATTGTTGAATTTGGATTTAACTAAACAAAGCTTTTTCAGAAACTCCAGCTTTATCGCAACTATTTCATACATAGAAGAAATGTAATTAGTATAGAACAAAGGAAGACAGTAAAATTGTTAAATTCACATTTCCTGCCATCTTTGATGCCAGTGTTTTAGAGTAAGATCATTTAATTTTGAGAAATGATGGCGTTACTGCAGCTTTGGTCAAACTTGAAAAGGATGTTTTGTGCAGTCTCGTGCAATATTGCAAATTGTCGTGCTCAGTTGTTGTGGATGACTCCCAGCTACAACTGCAGCACATTATCCATAAAACTGACTGAATTGGTGCCATAATCTTGTGTTTTCTAAGGACAGTTGGCAGCCATATTGAATTGGGTTGGCTCCAAAAATAATCATTTGTAAATGCACATCCATTTAATGCTTTTTGCAAGTTTCAACAAAATTAATCCAGTGATTCAGGAGATAATTGCAAACAAGCATGAACACACAGATGTAGGCAAAATCCTTATTATCCACCTTTCCCTTTCAGTGGTGACCAGTAAAAACTAATCTCAACTTATATTATAATTACTTTTAGCAGTTATAAGCACAATGTTATTTCAGCATACATTCATTTATCATTTAAAGACAAAAAAATCACATTTAATGTTTCTTTCAAAACTTCAATAGTCTGCTGAAGATTTGAAACTCATTTTTAAAATGTTTTATTGTAATCTAATGTTTTTCTTGTTTCGATCCTGTTTCAGGGGATCAGCAGTCTGTTCAGCTCCCTTAAAGTGGTCCGTCTGCTGCGCTTGGGTCGGGTTGCCCGTAAACTGGATCACTACATCGAGTACGGGGCGGCTGTTCTGGTGCTGCTCGTCTGTGTTTTTGGGCTGGCCGCACACTGGCTCGCCTGCATTTGGTACGTCGAAGGCTTTACATCGTCCTCACTGACTGAGCACCTCTGGGTTTAGTTACGTAACTATCACTTACGTACACCTAGAGTTAGAGCGTTAATGGGTTTCCATCACAGTGTAACAGAGTTAATGTAAAAGAGGTCAGAATAAAGCCAATCTGTGCATTAACTAGGAGTTATTTTTGTGCTGTTTTAATGCATCAAAACAGCCTGTTTAAGCCTGTGCTTCCATCATTTTGTTTTATTCTAATTAAGATGTAAATTCATGGAGCAAGGACGTTTAAAGTGTAATCAGATCACGCTGTCAACAGGGGGCATTAGAGTGTGATGGTAGCATTAGGTTTTCATCATGTTGAGCCTTATTTGTTGTTTATGAGAAGTTCTACAAACAATGGGTTCAGGCATTATTATGATAATTTAATGTACAACGCATCAATAAAAACTAGAGAATCTGTTGCTTTTCTTCACGGTGTTCCACATTCTTTTGAGTTTTTGTTTCCTGACTCTTTATGCAAGCAGAATAACTGTTGTTGGTCACACTCGCAGCGCAATCAGACCTGAACAAATGAACCTGATGGTGCTGCAGAACCAGACAGCCACACCAGTAAAAATAGCTCCTGTGTGGTTTCAGTGGTTGCCATGGTCTCATGCAAAAGCCGCGACGTCGTCGACTCGAAAAAAGTTAAACCGTCATCAGCTCAGGTGACAGCAGCAACAGCAGGCAGCCCCTTCCTGCTGTCAGCTTTAGTTTCTTACAGTAGGATGTGAAAACAACTAAAAATAATAATAAAAAAACATTCCTTGAAAGATTGCATATCGCTCACTGTTTTTTGAGTTTTTTTCTGTTGAAAAGTGAAATTGTAGCCATTTTGATCAAACATTGAAAACAATGTTATGGGTGACCCATATCAGTTGCAGATGTACGCCCAGTAATTATTTTCTGCAAGATTAAATTTTAAGTTAAATGTTTTTGTCTGATGGTTCTTGAAATATTTTGCTAACATGTTTGACTCCAGCAATTAACTACACCAAATTTTAGCACAAGATCTGTACTTTTCTGTGGTAAATGATTTTTGTAGACATCTTGAACTGGGGTAATAATGTTTTCAGGATTAGTTGATGGCCATCTTGATTTGTGTTAGCTTCAGAGGTTATGGAGCACATGCAATTATTATTTCCTGAACGTTTCAATAAAGTCTGTCTGGTGATTCATGAGACATGTTAACAAGAAGACAGAGTTGTCTCAAGGTGTCTCAGCTCTGCTCACTGTTAACCAATGCAGTTTGATCAAGTCTGATGCATTTTTTATAGTCAAAGTTATCATTTTACTCCTCAGGTACAGCATTGGGGATTATGAAGTCATTGATGAGGAAACCAATGTCATCCGGATGGACAGCTGGCTTTACATCCTGGCGGAGACGGTGGGCCGGCCGTACCGCTTCAACACCAGCGGGTCAGGGAAGTGGGAGGGCGGGCCCAACAAGGACTCGGTCTATATCACATCCCTGTACTTCACTATGACCAGCCTGACCAGCATCGGCTTCGGTAACATCGCCCCAACCACGGACGGAGAGAAGATCTTTGCTGTGGCTATGATGATGATCGGATGTGAGTCAGGGCTGGGTCTATCCTCTCCAATGCAACACACACACACACACACACACACACACACACACACACACACACACACACACACACNCACACACACACACACACACACACACACACACACACACACACACACGTTTGTTCTTGAACCCCGTGGGGACCTTCCATTGACTTCCATTCATGTATTTTAGACTTTATGTCCTAACCCTGACCATATACTCCAAAATTAACCTCACAGGTACCTACCTGACCCTAAAACTAACCTAAACCTTGGTCCTAAACCTAACCCCACACCTGTAATTTGCATGTGGACCCGTGGGGACCAATGCCAGTTCCCCACGGTGCACTTTGGCCCCCATGAGGCTGTTTTTTTTTTTTTTTAGGAAAATTTTTTCCCCACGTTGTAGGAAAAACCCATCCACACACACACCTCAGAAGTCAAGTTATGCTCTTAAAAGCCACAATCCACCTAGGAATGGGAACAAGTGAATTATGAATAGAGCCATCAATGTTCAGAAAATAGAATTGCGCAGATGAGAAGATGAATTTTCCTCATTCTCAAAACTGAAAGCTTTGTCAGACATGAACAGGTTCTTCCTAAAATCAAATATTTAACACAAGAAAATCAGAAAGTTTAGATGTTCTTGCAGCAACAAAAATTTAACTATCAACTTTTGAAGGAAAGCATATCCCTAAGCCCATTATACGCAAAGCTTTGAACGATCCATTGGTGCTCAAAGTACGCATCACTCTCAGCTACAACTTAGCAGTTTTTGGATTTAAGTTTGATAAGCTGTGTCAGCCATCTTGAATCAAGTTGACTCCTAAGGTAAAGCGTAGGTTCATGTACAATAATTATTTTCTGAGAGCTTCATTCAAATCTATCCAGTCATTCATGGGATATTTTGCTAAAAACTTGGGATTATTTCACCAGTAAAGATCTCATGTGATCTCTTAGCACACATAATATGCTTTGAGGATGACTTGCAGCTACTCCCTCCCTAAAATTTAGCTGAATATATGTAAAACAGACTGAGGTACAGCCTTTTTAAAATAATTTCTGGGGTTAATTGGCTGTGGCAGTCATCTTGAAATAGTTGTCGATGTTTATCAAATTAGTTTCTGAGTGTTGCATTAAAGTTTGCCCAGTGCTTCAGGATATGTTTTACTAACAGACAACAAATGAACACACACAGGCAATTCAGTTGCTTGCCTTTCCAGGTGACAGGCGAGGGATAATAATGACTTGTGGTGAGTGAATATAAACCTGGATAAACGATGTGAGTTGGCTCCACTGTCAAAAAATAAATAAATAAAAAAACCCTACAGAATTATAGGCAAGCATGACACATCTCATATAACAAAACACAGCAGCTTGTTGAAGAAAAGAACTTGAACATTATACATTTTTAGAGGCTATTATATCAATGTAGCAGTCTGTACCACATATTCAATATCCCGCTGAGAAAGCCCTAATAATTTTTGACTTTCAATTACCTTTTCAATCTCATCAGCACCACTGTCAGCTCCATTCAGTGTGATTTAACACAGGGACATCCACTGCAATGACATTTCACTCATTACCCACAGTCTGCTCTGTGATAACATGCTGAATTATTTAGATTTTCTCAAGCACAAATTTAAAAGGCCTCTAAAGATTAAATCTCTGTTGAAACAGTGAATAAGTCTGCACTTTCTCAGCATCTGTAGCATTCTCTGTGTTGCTTCCTACCTGTATGTTGTTGTTTTGTTTTACTGTTTGTTAGACCTATTGAAATCTGTTAGAGTATGAGTTGGAGATAATCAACTATCAAAACAAATTTTAGCTCAGTTATAGCTTAGTTTGTGTTTGCTAAGGTCAGCTGGGACAGCCATGTGAAATTGTATTGACTCCAAAGGTTAATCAGACGTAGATGTTCATCAAAGAATTACTTTTTGCTCAGAGGCTCATGATATATTTTACTAACAGACAGGGTTGATGCCATCAGTTCTTACCAATGTTTTAGTAGCTGTTCTGGTTGTTTCCCAGCTACCACAAACACATTTTAACTCAAGGACTGTAAAATTTAGTTATTTTCATTTTTGTTTCCAAAGGTTCGCCATCTTAAATTGGGTGGACTCCAAACATCATTCAATTATAGATGAATAATTAGACAGGCCGACTCACTTCCTGTTTTTAAATCAGCTCTTAAAACACTTTTTTATTCCTTGGCTTTTAACTCAGTTTGAGATGTTGGTTTTAATGTTTTTGTTTTTATGATGATTTTTACTTAGTTTATTGTTTTGTGTATGTTTTATGTGTTTTTAATTAAGTACAGCACTTTGGCCAATGGGGTTGTTTTAAAGCGCTTTACAAATAAAGTTGTATTGTATTGTAATGATTACTTTCTACAAGTTTCATTAAAATTCATGCAGCTCATAAGATATTTTGCTAAAAATCAAACAATAATCAATCTAACAGGTGAAACCAAATAGATCTGAGTTATAACCACGTTCAGGTTTTTGAAGGTTAATTACTTGTGGTGGCCATGTTAAAGGGCACTAACTCCAAAAGCGCATTAGTTATGAATTTACAATAAATGATTACTTTGTGGGAGTTTGTTCCAATTCACTCAGCGGTTCACAGATATTTTTCTAAACGCACATACACAGTCATGTGCATAGATATTAGTGCTCTTTTGTCTTTGGCAGTGGGCCATAGAATCTGGTAGCTATCCCTCACTACAGAATGAACATGTTCTCAGGAGGAGGGATAGTTTTTCTTCTCGATATTACCAAGGTGTCTTTTGCTTTTTGGGGGCTCCTAAATCAGCTGTACAGCCCGTGTCATTATGTGCGAATGCACACACAGAGCGACACCTCGGAGCAATAACTGACACCGACGCATCAATTTAGCACAACGCTCCCCCTGATCCCTCTGCAATCACCCCTCACCTCCGCTGTGCTTTTCGTCAGCCGCCATCTCGAGCCCCGGCCGTCCCCCTCCACTTCCCCTCTGATTTTAGTGTTCAGGTTTATGAATATTTTCTCTGGGGGGAGAACTGGCAAAACTCATTTCCAGACTTATTGTCTCAGATGTTCATTGGGAGAGACAAATTATCTTAAATCTCCTTTAATGAAATGTAAATGTGTACATTTTTTAAAAAAAAAGTCCTCGGAAGGATTTAGTCATAGACAGAGTTTAGTGAAGACCGCGGACGTTCTCTATGAAATATGGATGCACTGATTCTTGCTATTTTTACCAGCAGCACAGGATCGGTGCTGGCAGCAGAGGATCACAGCGTGAGGAGGGGATTGCAGGGTGGCATGGGAAACAGTTAGGAGCGGGGTTTGGTGGTGGTGGTTGTGGTTGGGGGGGGATACTGTACATTTGTCCTGTTTCTATAGCAACTGTTGGCCCCAGGCTGGAGTTTCTGACAACTATGCTTTAAGTACCTTCAAATGAGCCAGCTGTTTGACCGCGTGCAACGTGATCCGTGTGTTGTTCTGTTGTGCAGAGACACATTTGTTGCAGTCGTTCTTGCTGCTCATAGAAAGAAACATCTGCACCAACGCTCAGGTTGCAGTTGTCTCATAACTCTGGTTATTTTAACTAAAAGTTTCATCTAATTCCTTCACCCGTTAACTTTCTGTTTTAATGATATGGATGCTGGCAAATGTGAGGTTAAATAATAATAAGGCTCATGTAGTTGTCAGAGTGTTCAGCTACTACAATGCCTAACTTTAGGTCTGCATTTGTAACTTAGCCAGAGTTATAGCCATTGTTGTGTTGTTGATTAGCTTTAGCTGCCATCTTGACTTGAGTTGACTCCAAAAGTTAATCAGTTGAAGATGTCCAGTGCATCCAGTTGTAACTTTCAAACTTTCATTAAAATCTGTTCAAAGGTTCATCAGGTAAATTGCTAAAGGCACAGTCAAACAAACACACACAGACATGAGCAAAAGCATCATCACCCTTTTTGTTTTTAGTGGCAGGTGACAATGCTTGATTAAAAATGGCTGTGCAACGAGGATGAAAAGATGAAAGTTGGTTATGCTTCCTATAGAGATTTCTGGAGCTTTTTAATTAGCATTATTCCCTCCGCGCAGTTTTCCAACCCTTTGATTGTGCGCCGTGAAATAAACAAGCGCGCACAAACTCCACGCACAGGTTACTGTCATCATCCGAGGATAATTGAAATGTTTGGCTGGTGTGTTTCCTGCGTCGTCCCTTCTAGCCGGGGCTAATTAGTGCTCCTTTGGCAGGAGAGCCGTGCTCACATGGAGCAGACATCTGATGGCTTTGATCCACACACACGAGCGCCAGCTGTTGCACCAGTTCAACCACCTCAGATCCGTAGCGTTGCGCGCTTCACTGCCTTTCATATCATTCTTCCATCACAAGTCAAGTTTAGAGAAAACATCTAACAGGATGTAGCCTCATCGAGGCAGATGCTCTCAGTTGTAGTGATTGTAGTTGTGTCCCTTTTGGAAATAGTTATTTGATTGCATTTGGACACAGGGATTATTAGTGATACTTCCCATGTGATTAATAAAACCATTACTCACATGAAATAGAATTAGGTCTGAAGACACTTTTTAGGATTTGATAAAAACACTAATCGAGGAAAATATAATCACAATCTTTGCAAAGTAAAGCAGAAAATCTAAATATTTCTCTGAGCAGGACCCAAAGAGTTTTTGTGGAGATGTGGGAGTTAGCAATTATTAATGCAGCACAATCGGATATTCATGGCCTGACCGAGGCCATTCCTCATTAAGGAGGACTTTGCCAAAAGGCTCCTGAACGAGTCACAGACCAAGGGAAGCAAAGTCTTCAGACTTGATTAAACAGATTAAAGTGGACTTTGAATCTACTCATTACCCATTCATACCGAAGGCTGTGTTTAAAATTGATTCTCAGCCTCTGAATAAACAAGAAAAATGGCACAATATAAACAGATTTTTTTATTCTTTCTATGTCAGTGACTTAGCTTTATTATTATTTTTTTTCAAATAATTTTACGGTACTTAATTCAAGCTTAATTCAAGGCAAAACGTGGATTAAAATTATCTATAAAATCAAAAACCGAGGGTTACTCAAAGGAATTCATATCGCCCTCTGCTTTTTGTGTCACAATGTTCAACTCACATTGTTTTACTGATCAGAAATAATGGTGGAGGTTTGGGTCACAACTTGTAAATGGCGTTATACACAATCTCATGCAATCTAGTATGACTTGTAGTACAGCTCACACAATATTGCAAAATGTTGCAGGATTTCTTAAAACTTGAAGTTTAAGTTGTAAATGATTCTCAGCTACAACCAACGGGACTTGCCTGGTTAAAGAACGGTGAATAAAACCACACTAATGGTGATTCCCACCGAACGCATTTTGAGATGCAGGAGCAGCCCGTTTACATGTAAAGTCTATGGTGGACGCGCCTCTAGGGGTCTTGCATCGCACCATGTCCATTTTGCGCGGCGCGCAAGGAACGCAGAAGGGGCGGCAGAGCATTTTCCACGTATGCGATGCTGCGAAAGCAGCCAACGCTCGAGTTCAAAAATCTGAACTTTCGCCGCTCGGCGCGTCTTGACAACCAATCAGAGAGGCTCATTTTTCCACGTGACAGTTTCCTGAATGTTGCCCACTAAACCGAAACAGACGAACAGGAGATCTTTACCTGAAATCGACCATCTGCAGTTGGTGTTCTGGCAGGAGATATCAGTACCGATGTGGGTCAGCGTCTGGTCTGTGTCCCGGTCTGAACATAGAGCGTCCAGCTGGAGCCGTTGTGCGCTTTTTTGCTGCTAAAACGTGTTCGGTGTGAACGTAGTATAAACATTTTCACTCAATCTGTCAAATTTACTAAGATGTGGTCATTTATTTGTTTCTAGGGTTGCTTAGCCAAGGTAGCTGTCTTAATTGGCGTGATTCCAAAGGTTAATCAGTTGTAGATGTGCATCTAATAATTACTCTTGTGAGTTTTTTTTAAAATCTGCCCACTTGTTTATGAGATATTTTGCTAACGCTACAGACAGGGTAACATACAGACACAGGCAGAAACATTACTGTTTTCTGCCTTTGGCATCCAGCAATAATAAGACATGATGATGGAATAATTCTGACAACTGGAGCTTTGAGATTTGTTAGAATGCAGGAAAGAAAAAACTGCCTAAAAACCTGTAGATTTTTCAAGATCTCGAGCTGAATTGCGAGTTTGCCTTTGCATCTGACTGCATCCAACCTTGCTGAGTTTGCACTTTTGTTCAGAAACGGGGAGGGAAGAAAAAGCTTTCACATGATTCTTGAGACCACTGTCAAATTTAGCCTGAAGAGATATGAAGAGAAGGATCTTACAATAAAACTTAGACCTGAAAGAGTATAAAAACTTTCCACTAGCACTCTAGTTTGTAGTTTGAAACTATATCTCTGAGCAAAATTTGGACTGGTAAGAGAATTTTGTTTGCTGGTCATTCTGCAACCAAACCTGCAGGGAATTTTGCCTGAGTTTTAAGTACAGACTGAAAGTTACTGAGGGGGAGGAATAGATTTCTATGTGCATGGTACTATGAGGCAGTTATTTCTCTATTTAAAGTAAAATATGTTTTCTTTTGGACATTTTTCGGTGGTCAGCAGCTGACTGCATTGACTGTGTTTTCTACCCTTTTTAGAAAACACAGCCAGTGCATTCGGCTTCACAGTTGCCAAATCCTTCAGGTGAGTTCGCCTGCTGTGGTGACCCCTGCGGGAGTGAAATGCCGAATAAAAGAATAACAAGAACAACCTGCTCCTCCTCTGTGTCAGTGACCATTGTTTCCCTCAGTCATCTTTGCAATCAGCCTCACCTATTGAACTGCTCATTAGTCTCGCCTGTTCTCACTCAGTAATCAACCCTCCCCGCATACTTAATCTGCTTCAGTTTCTGTCCTGCCATTTGTTGTCTGTGTCTGTTTGCAAAATCCTTCATGAGCCCCTGAGAATTATAAGATAATCTTACTTTAAAACTCTGGATTGAAAGGTGGAGGGTGACGTGTGTTTTTAATGTTCTTAGTCCCAATATCCTCATTTTGTGTTCCACATTAGTTATAAGAGCCTCATAATTACAATATTGCAACAATGTTGACTTTATAAACAAATGTTGTCCATTTAAATATAACATTGAGACCAATCTAAGGAATAAAACACATACAACTGATCTTATTTGAAGAATCTTTTTAAATTGCTTCAAAAGTAATTTTTTTTTAACTTTGTGTTTCCCCAGCCCTTCTTTATGCCACCATCTTTGGTAACGTGACAACAATCTTCCAGCAGATGTACGCCAACACAAACCGCTACCATGAGATGCTCAACAGCGTGCGGGACTTTCTGAAACTCTACCAGGTGCCCAAAGGCTTGAGTGAGCGAGTCATGGACTACATCGCCTCCACCTGGTCCATGTCACGGGGTATAGACACAGAAAAGGCAAGATGAATATTAACCGTCTCTCATACTTTTTGATGTAATGGAAGTTTAGTAAAGCTAATCACAGCCTCTTGATTGCAACAGTTTTGTTCTAGTATACCTTACAATGCCAGGATGTTCAGCACTTAAGAGTTTTTGTGTCATGTCTATTTATTTTCTCCATAATTAAACAGCTGAGCGAACAGAGGCAAAAAAAAAATTGAGTAACTTTTGCCAGGGTTTGTCCAATTTCCTTTAACAATCTTTTTCTCTCAAGTCACCACAGTTCAGACACGTTAATCTTGTGAGTTTAGACCCAAGCTTACTCAAGAAGAATAAATCCTTGTAAATCCTGTTCAAATACCCTTGATTTTTTTAGGGATTTTTTAAACTGAAGGTAAAGTGTTAATGAAGTTCCTGCAGAGCTGAATTTTTGTGATCTCTGGGCAGAAAAAAGACTGTTTCCACCTTTCATGCTGATTTAACTGGCTCTGAAGCTTTATGATTACTGAACAGGAAAGCATGAAAGTGTTTTTCCGAAAAGGTTAAACTAGTCCTTTAAAAACCAAGCAAATATAGTGATATAGTTTCTCTTTTTTATTTCTTTAGGAGGCTTTGGGTGGGTGTGTTTGTGAACATTTTCTTTTTATTGAAAGCTCCATCCATCCATCCATCCATCCATCCATCCATCCATCTTCTGCCACTTACTTGTGTGTAGGGGATGGGAAACCCAGACTCTCTGTAGCGACACTCTCCAGATGTTCCAAGGCCAGAGAGTTCTAGGTCTGCATGGGGTCTCTTCTAGTAGTATACCAATATTTGCATCGGTACCAATACCAGTGTCTGTTAAGTACTCATTCTCATTCAAAATGCCCTGATATACTGATACCAATTTCAGTATTGATACCTGGATACTGGTATCGATACGCAATTGAATATGTTACAATTTACATTTCAAGTGAAAAGTTTGTTGGTTGCATGTTTAAGAAATTTATAAAAGCTGAACAAAAATCTTATTTGTTATTTTTATTTAATTTAAAACGTTGCAACAGTATACAGTATATCATGCAGTATATTTGATTTGATCTGGTCAGAGGGGCCTATAAGCCTATAAGGAAGGAGAGACACCTTGTTCTAAATTAAAGAAAATTGTTTTAAAGTCATTGTGTAAAGTTTAGGTTCTAACTCGGTGAGTATTCAGTATCAGCTCTCGGTATTGGCGAGTACCCAAACTGAAATATTTCTAATTGTACTCGGTTTGAGAAAAACTGGTATCGGAAACACACCTAGTCCAGTGGGATGTGCCCAGAAAACTTCCAAAAGAATGCATCTTGGAGATATCCTAATGATGATAATGATGCCAGAACCACTTTCTCCTATTGGTGTAGAGTAGCAGCAACTCTACTCCCAAATTCCACCCCCAGATGACAAAGCTCCTCACTTTATCTCAAAGATTGAACCTGGCAACTCTGCAAAGGAAGACTATTTCAGCTGCTTACGTCCAGGATCTCATTCTTTCAGTGGTGATCCACATCTCAGGGCCTTAGGTGAAGTTTGGGACGTAGACGAACCAGTAAATTTAGAGCTTTGCCTTTTGGCACAATCCGATCATCGATCCATCTCCCACTCCATCCTGTCTTTACTCTTGAATCAGGTACTATTCTGCTTGAGGCAGAGACTGACGCTCTCCAGAGGAGCAATGTTCATCTTTTTCCAGTCGAAAACCATGGTTCTTGTCTTAAAGGAGCTGACTCTCATCTGCTTCACATTTTGCTTCAAACCACCCCTAGTGGGGGTCATGAATAGGGATGTCCCGATACCACTTTTTCACTTCCGATACGATACCGATATTACAACCTTGAGAAATGTCCGATACCGACATTGACCGATACCGATATTGACCCGTTACCGTAACAGTACAAGTCACACACTTTTACCTATTTTGTGATGTAAAATCTTAGAAAAGTCTTGATCAGGTCAAACAGTGAAAAAGAGTAGGTATGAGAAAAACTGACCCATTTATTTTTAACCAATGGATGACATACATTTTAAACTGAAGAACATTCTACAATTTAATAAAATAAATTATAATACTCTGAAAAATAAAAGATAATAAAAACAAAATGGTTTTTCAAAGTATAAAATAACAATTCAAAATCACTTCAGTTATTGTTTTACTACCTGTCAGCCTGGTGCTGCTTTATGGTGGAAAAAACTGAAGGTGAGGACAAAACAAAACCCCACATTATTGTCTGTTCAAAGTTAAGAGTCCACAGCTCCAATTTTACTGACTGTAACYAAAACAACGTGATCATTGCACTTAATCTTCACTAAAACAAGTGTGTAAACAGATTAAACATCACTCTAATAACAAGAGCAAAAAATAAATAGTAAGAATTAGTCAATTATTTAAATTGATAGCTACCTTTCTTACTGCTGCATTTTCTGAGCATCATGTGGAGATTAGCCTCTCTCTCCTGCAGTTTTTATCACTGCTCTCGTCATGTCGCGCTCATATTTCAAAACAAAAGCTGCGCTCTCCTTTCTTCTGTCCATCGACCCAGAGCTAATCCACGGGATGTCAAAACTGTAAGCGTGCTGTCCTCGCTTCTGCCAGCTTAGAACCACCGACCGGACCAGAGAGGAGGTTCTGAAACAGCGCAGCTGTGTGCGGTCACTGGACCGAGGCTGAACGAACCGAGTCGAAACGCAAAGCTGCTGCCAGGGTGGAGAGTAGTTGTCGCTCCGGTTTAAAATGTACATGGTTCTGTGTTCCCCCTCGGAAAACTTGTGCATGACAACTTTGCACTTAGCTTCAACTCTGTTTCTGATGAAAATAGAAAGTTCTGCCGACACTCTTGCTAACTTGTTAGCGCAGCATGTTGTTGTGATCACGTGAGCGCTACATGCTGGATCCAAGCACTGGGGCGGCTGTGGCGGAGTGGTTAGGGGAGTCGTCCTGGAACCAGAAGGTCACTGGTTCGATCCCCCGTCCAGCTGTCTCAGTCGTTGTGCCCTTGTGTGCTTGCACTGCTGGATAGAAACACTGGAGCGGTGTCAGTGAACTGCTGGATTGAACTGCTTATATCGGAGCGCTTATATCGGACATTTTTTATGCAGGCCGATAAAATCTGATACTCATTTTTTGGCTGATATTGGACCGATATCCGATATCAATATCGGATCGGGACACCCCTAGTCATGACACGAGGATGCCATCAAAACTACATCATCTGCAAAAAGTAGTGATGAGGCCCTGAATTTCCCAAACCAGACACCCTACTCTCTATGACTTGCAATCCTGTCTCTGAACACCACAAACAGGACCAGAGACCAGGGGTACCCCTGATAGAGTTCAACCCACACCAGGAACAAGCTCCACTTTGTGCTGAGAATCTAGACAGCTCTGACTTTGGTTAAACAGGAACCTGATATCCCTGGAAGCCCTTCATATACCAAACACACGCAGACCTGAGAGTTCCATCAACCCCTTGGTAACTTTTAAAAAGTTCAGATCTAGTCCAAACCAACTCTTTAGCACCACAGTGCCTCTTGACATACTACTGATGTAATAAGAAGGACTTAACCAAACAAATGCAGCATAATTTACCTCATTTGAATAAACTTCCTATCCAAAAGAACTCAGGTCTTCAACTGAATTAAGCAAATATTGCAGGTAGAAGGGTCACATTCGTGATCTACATATGACAAAGAAATTGGTGAAATGACTAAAATAAAATAAAAACAATTTGGTGATGGAATAGAGGAGAATCATTATCTTTGAAGAATTGTCAGAAAAAAATCCTCAAGGCTCTGTCACATTAGACAACTTATGCCAACTTATGAAACATTTTTTATGTCTGGATTGCTAATAAAAGTTATATATTTGATCAATATGTTTGAATTACACTATGTACACGCTGAAAAGAAGCTTCCTGTTGAATTTTTTCAATTCCGTCTTCATTGCAGATGTCTTTAAAATGTTCATAAGTTGGCACAAGTTGTCTAGTGTGATAGGGCCTTCAATGATGACAGATGAACAAACAGTAACTTTGTACGTTTGCTGAAATTTACTTAAAAAATCCACAGTAGAGCTCATCAGTGTTTATTAGTAAAAGTAGGAACCTGCCCACATACCCAGTGTGAACAAACTCCAAGGTTTGTGGCTGTGTAGCTTAAGAAAACCACTTATCAGTCAGACTAATGGAAAGGAAAACCTTCAATTTGCTGCGGAGCATTATAATTGGACTCTGGGGTAATGGAAAAGGGACATTGGGTTTGATGAGTCCAGATTTATTCTGTTTCAGACCGTTTGGCACATCAGGATGAGAAACACGGTGGGTGATGTGATTGCTCACCTCACAAACCTTTTGGGGTCCTGTTACAACCTGGGGCTACTTTCAATGTTCAGGTCAGCAACGTCCTGTCTCCAAATTAATTTAGTTAAATTACAAAGTGACCAGGATTTTAATTTTCTTCCATTGGTGGATTTCTTTCTCATTGGCTCTGTGGGGACATTCCAATGTGCCAATGTCAAGATTCACTGAGCTCAAATTGTGAAAGTGTGATTCAGGAAGCATAAAATATATTGTTTGCAGTTCCCCTCAACCATCCAGCTGAATTCAGTTAACACTAAAATGAGCTGAGGGTTTGAAAACGGCACATTTGAAGCTTAGAGCGGATAGATTGAGCTGCTGCCTCTCTGTTGATTTGAAGTCAGTTCATCAGTGCATCTTGTAAAAAAAACCTTGTTCAAAGTCAAATCATTTCACTTCAAATTAAACCCATAACAATCAACAACATAATATACGTGGGCCTAGATAGTTGACATCTAATCAAAATCAAATTATAAAATGTATTCCTGTGTTGAGCTTTCTTTGGATCAGATTTTTTTTTAAATCTGGCTGTAGGCCACACTAACGGGGCTAAAAATGGCCCATAATCCCTCTCTGCTTGGCATTTATCTTCAAAGAGATTTGTTTTAAAAGCAGATCCCTGCGACGGCCTGCCATGATGAGGTGAACAACATGCTGACACTCAGCAGACGAGCGGCTGGACGTGGAGCCCATAGCTGCCTTCATGTTTCCCTCGTGACAAACTGCATCAGAACGTGCTGGAAATGATTTGCTTTATGTGGAATCAGTGACAAAAAATATGTTCATATTTTTATTGTAGACATCTTAGAATCAGTCTCAAAGTGTTCCTGTCTGCACTCAGTCTGATTCTTTTATTTCTTCTATTGTGATCCGCCTCACCAGTTAGTGTTCACTGCACAAGGGCAGAATGTGGGGGAACATGTTTGTTTCTTTGTGTACACATCTTTGTATTTGTGTATGGAGACATTCTGACATTATGCTAATAAGGACATTTTCATTGTTTGGACATTTGCCTGGTGCACACAATGGATAAACCCCTTTATGGGTCAGGGGTTAAGTTCAGGTTTAGGTTAGACCTGTGAGCTTAGGTTTGGAGAAAGGGGTCAAGGTTAGGCTGTTGAAATTAATAGAAGTCGATGCAAAATCCACACAAGATTTCAAGAAGCAGTGAGTCACTGTTTGAGGAGTTGATTTTTTTTGTTTTGTTTTATTATTTGGTTTATTATTGTTTGAAATTAATATTTTTTTTGTAAACAGGAGCAGATATGATATTTTCTTCTTCTGCTGCCTTTAATTTAATTTAATTTGTATTGTTTTGTTTGATGTAATGTTTTTGTTTTTTAAAATGAAATGAATAAATACTATAAGCTAAAAAATGTTTTTATCTGTGACGGTCACAGATCATTTTCTTGAAAAGGAACGGATGGTAGAATTTATAAACTGACACATTTTATTATGTAGGCCTAAATTGAGCTTCCTCTTCTTGAAAGACCAGCATCCGCCACTGATCTCGAATATAATACAATCATCATTTTTTGAGCTTAAAAAGCATTTTAAAAATCTAATCATCAATAACCTGTGTATAATAATACCATAGCCTGGTTAAAACTAGACCCTTGTCCTTCACTTTTCTTTGTACGAGGGTCTGGACTCTCAGCTATAGAGAAGTGATTCTTGCAGGAGGCGTGGCCTCTGTTGAAATTTAAAACGATTGGATCGGTTGGCCGCAAGTGCCAACTCCACTATGAAGTAGGCTAAGCTAAGAAGCTAGAGAGAAGACAAGTACCGAGCTGAACGAGACGGCTGTAAATGAGAGCTGCTGCTTTGTCAGACAAGTTTATTTTAATTTGGAAGCCTTATCAACACGGACTGGCTTCATTCACTTCCTCCACTGCCGTATGCTAAAATAACTAGCAGACACTGCACAGAAAATAAAGGTTGTTCAAAGCTCTGCCTTCTGTTTGCTGATTGGCCCAGGTAAAATAAACTACAAGCAGACACTGCACAGAAAATTGATATCGTTCAAAGCCCCTCCTTCTGTTTGCTGATTGGCCCAGGTAAAATAAACTACAAGCAGACACTGCACAGAAAATCAATGTTATGTGTGTGTGTATGTATGTATGTATGTATGTATGTACTGTATATATGTACAGTTATGTATGTATGTATGTATGTATGTAC